CTGACTACGGATCAGAAGATTCCAGGTTCGAATCCTGGCAGGATCGTGATTAAATTGATACTTTTAATGATAAATTTAAAATTAATTTTTTTAAAACAGAAATTAACAATATTGCAAAATCAGAAGATGTTAAAAATTATGCATGTACGTAAGATAATCAGTCAAAATGGAACGTTTCCTCTGCTTTTACGATTAAGAGCATATGCGACGATAAAAATAATCTTTTGTATATAGAAAGAAATCAGAATCAGAAATTTATACGTTTTATGATAACATTTTTTTGTTTATGAGACAAGTTTACATAACTATTAATTAACATCGCCTCTTTTTTAAATTTTTATATTGCGTTTTTTATAGATAAATAATATTGATCAAAAAATTTCCGACAGTGTGAGCAAATTAGAAAATAAATTTTGATTTATTTTATTCATCGACAAAAGTAAATATCATTGAAAAATTATTTAATATTCTCTCCAATAAGCACACGTAGCAAGACAAACGTGCGAGAATTTTATAATATAAATAAAAAAAACGATGTGCATAAATTATATTATGCGTATTTTACATTTGTAAACTATTTTTCGGGATTTTTATCACGAAGTAGTCGGATATTTGCGTTTTTTCAAAGTAATTCTTCAAACTTTCAGAACTGAGTAACTGGCAACACCGGAATGGTGCTTTTAGCGATCAGGAGGTACATTCTTTTCTTCTATTGCGTTGTGAGTCACACAACAGAGCTGACGAGATGGTTTCGGGATACAAAGAGCTTAGAGCAGCAAAGCGTTAGAAGATATAGCGTTTCATCGTCAAAAGCAGGTAAGAAACTACTTGTCAGAGCTTAATCTTTTATATAAAAATATTTAGTTTATTTTTTTGGAAGTTTTATTCTGTGCATGTTAAACAAAATATCGTCCTTATTGTTTGTCTGTAAGGGGAAGCAGATAGCAATTTCGACAATGCTATTAGTAATTTTATGTAATTAATTTTCTATTCCTAATTAATTATAATACTATATAATTGTAACTGTATTAGTTAACGAATGTAAAAGTGAAATATATATGAATATGCTGGGATTATATTCTGCTACGATGTATGTCAAGGGTTCGACTGTTTACATGTTTTTATCACGTTTGGCATGGGCGATACTGTGAACATAAATACAAGAGAGAAATTCTTTCTTAGTCTTTTCTTATTCTCTATCTACGTAATATATTCAGAACATTATTATATATCATTAGAAATATTAGTTTATAAGTAAATTATTAAATAAAAGTGGGGAGAGAAGGATTATATAATAATTAATGCTGATTAATACTTTTATTAAATTAATACGATTAAATTGTACGACATTAGCGTACAATTTATTAAGGACATAGTTATATTTTACAAAATAATTTTAAACGACTACATTATCCGTTGCTATAATTAAAATTATATTGTTACAATTACATTGTTAAGATATTTCCTTTGTTTTATAATGCATACTGTGTTAGAAGATATATTTAACGTTTAGTTAATATTATAATACATGTGTATCTTATTTTACATGTATTTTATATATATGCAAAACATTTATTTTACATATACAAATTATATTTTAATTCTACTTTTAACTCTATTCTAATTCACTCATTAAAATTTAACGAGTGAATTATGCAGCTTTATACGTATAGCATTTTTCCGTTTGCAGATTAAACTAGCAATTGGTGAAAATATTCGATTAGTTATAAGAATACACAATATTTGACTCAATGCCGTGATTAAACCTGCTAGCTACTTTTTATAACATTATTAATTTTAAGTCTTTTAAGTCTATTAAATAATTCGAGTTACTTCTCATCCAAATGCATATTATTTTAACATGGAATTAAAACTAGCTACAGGTATAACTTCCATTTATTTATTTAATACTTGATTAAAAACGGTTGATTTCCGTTGCTTAAAACTCATAGACTATGCATTTGATATTGAAAATTGCAAATTAGAAATTTAAAGTCAATTTTTTAATGAATTAAATTCTATGGGACAAAATTTTGATTGCCCGATCCAATTAAATTTTAATTTCTTACACGCAATTTCCAATGTGTAATCTAATATTCAACCTTGGCAAATAAATTTAGTAGAAATTTGATATCATGAGAAGTGATGTAATAAAAAGTTAAAAATGAGTTGATAACGAGTTGATAACTGTTGCATCCTATCAATGTTATTGAAACACCAATCTTATCAATTTATTCTTGTTCAAAAAGTAGTTGAACAATTTGTCGAACGTTTTCGTAATATAAAATTGATCAAGAAGTTCTTCGTCCTTTTTTTTGTTTTATTAGTATAAGAATTACAAAAAAAAGGAATAATATTCTTTATCAATTTATATCATTAATTTATGTTACGTTCAATTGTGCTGGAATGTGTATTCACACGTATTACATATTATATTTTGGTTAACGGTCAAATTCGACTGTTGCCAATAACATACACAGCACGATACCAATTTGTCTTTTGTCTCGACGTCAGGTCACATCCTCAGTGATTCCCTCAGGTGAGGTGGCGCCACATCCGATATAAGACGAAGTTGAACGAAGCCCCGTTGCTGACGAAGCGAAGCTTATTATCGGCGACGAACTACCGCGCGCGGTAGTTGCCGCGGTGGTGCGACTGGGGCTTCTCAGGCATTCGGCAATATAAAAGCGGTGAAAGAACAACAAAGAAGATTTGTCGGCCAAAAAAAAAAATTGGTTGCTCTCCGACGTGGACGTCGACATGCCGGCAAACAAAAGAAGATTCCGCATTCCCGCTGGCGTGACTTTGCGGGAGTGCAGTGTTGTTATTGTCGGAAGTACATGCAAGATATGCGGCAGAGACTTCAAGTGTGAAAGTGACGTTATTCTGCATAGACGATGGAGACACAATACAGCTATAGGACCTTTAATCGAAAGCCTGAACAACGAGAGTTACTTTCAGGACATCGGCCAGAACTGCGACATATGTAACGCGTATTTTGTAAATATTTCGGACTTGAAAATTCATAAACGACTAATACACAAACACAGGCGCAGAAAGAAGCTTCGAAAAGAGACTGTACATGTGACATTCAAATTACAAGGAGTAACCATAATGGATGTCAATTTAGATCGAAAATATTTGAAAGTGCAGGAGAATCTTAGATATGTCGTCGATGCTGATACGCAAACACCAAATTGGTTTGAAGAACATCCAGATGACTGCGCGACGAATATTGATTTGTTTCTTCGGGACCCTGTTGCAAATGACAGTCATATAGAATATGGTATATGGCCCCACAAAGCAAATCGATACATTGTAGGTAAATTTGCGTCCACTAAAGACGACACAATAGCATGTTCAACCAATATAGTGGGGAGAAGTCTCGCGAAGATCCTGAATATGCCTCATAGAAACACAATCGCCGGTAGTGACGATTCGTACAAAGAATACGAAATTCCTCACGATTCCACTTCTAAGGAACATTCCAACGTGCTTCTCGGAAATCTCACTATACATGATAAGGAAAATTCGCAAAGGATAGACAATGCGTATTCAAAAGAGCGAGAGAGAAAAAAAGCATATTGTGAAGACAAAATTCTAGATGATTCTAAAGAATTTTCTATGTACCAATCAAACAAATCCGATCAAATAGTATCGTCTGTTTCTAAACAAAATTCTTGGTCCAGCAAAAATTGTCACGATCTTATTAGCCGGTCTAATAAAGTTGCAGGATATAAGAAAAGTGCTGGATTAACAAGTTCTGTAATAGATTCTGTAGAAGTACCTATTGATAATGAAAATAATAATTTTGATAGTGCAATGAAGAAACGTACTCTTTTATCTAGAGATAATGAAAAAAACGAATCGCTAAAAGTAGATTCGAACGTTGATGATGATATACAGGAAGTGCTACGGATAACAAGAGGAAATGCACAAAGCGATATCAACCATGAGTCGCCTAATCGCACGGAAAGAGAGATGTTAGTACAAAACTCTGCCGAATTGTATATGCTTTCTATACAAGGAAAATCAACCGTTTATCCTGAAAAATGCAATGCTGAATTTACGACGAATGTTGAATCGTCCAATTACTTACCGTTTACAACAATTACCGAAAGTAGTTATCAGTTTCTGGCAAATACATTTGATAAGAAACTGGGCATCTATTTGGAAGATCTTCACCATTACGGAATCAGATGCTACGAAAATTTACCAGAAATTAATAACAATAACTTAGAAGAGTACCCTGTATATGATCATCAAGATTTTTTGAATCCATGGATGCAAGCAGCGGAATCACAATACACCAACGGATTGAGAGCGAATGACAATGAAGCGATTGTTGTACTAGATTAAGCGTATATTAGTAAAAATTTGTTAACTAGCGTTGGATTGTAGGTACGATTGTAAATCGTAATTTTTTCAAAGCTCAAATGCGAATGTGCCAATGTATCTTTCCTTCTTTAATTTTACTTTTCTTAAATATTAGAAGACAATAGTAATTTATTTTATGTTATATGCATATATAAATATTATATATCTGTTCTGTAGCCGTTAATTTATATTGTAGAATGAATGCAAAAATGTAGTTATTTTGCATTATCGTTTTTTCTATTATATTCTCTTTTTTTATTTTAACCATTTATATTTATGGAACAAAATATTGTGATCCAATAGATAAAACGAGTATAACGATGTAACATATAAATTAAGTTTCAATCCTGAAGTAACTATTATTATGGTAAATAATATAAAGATGTTAAAATATAATCCCATATATATATATATATATAT